ATGCATCCACTTCACACTCTGCAAGTATGGTCTGAAAGCATTCCCGTGCTTGCGAAGCCATTCTGCTCAGGAGGTCGTCGCAAATGAGAACGTAGAGATCAGAGTCGATACGCGAGTGAGAACTGCAATCAGAATAAGAGCAGATCCACCGGGTATCATGATACACGATATGAAGCGGCGTGAAGTAATCCTGATTGAAGTTGGCATCACTAGTCAGGACAGGTTGACAGCAGTCGAGACCGAGAAAAAGCCAAAATATGACCTGCTAGCTAATAAGCTTGGGTCAGAGATTGAATGCACGACCGAAATAACTCCGCATGTCATGACTTGGGATAAGATTGTAAAGAACTTCCACAAACGCTAAGCGAAGGAGATTAGTATAGCAGACCACGTCGAGGCATATATCCAATCGATAGATCTCAAGAAGACACCCGAAAGCATCTTCTTCGATAGTTGATACGGATTTCACGAGGACGAAGCGAGAACGAAACGAGAACAACAAATCTGAGCGCGAGGCAAGAGAAATATACTAACACGAGAATGCGATATATATATATATAACAAATATACGAACATGCATAATTATTTATTAGAAAATTCATTTTTTTCATTAATAATTTACAATTGTTCGAGATTTATGAATATTTAAATGGTTGTAAAATATTATCAACAGATACTTACAAGTTACCTACCTTATTAGAAGACAAGCCAGGACATGAGAACCACTGCTGAAAGTCATGATCAAAATTTTGATCACAAGTTCCATACTCTTCGTTCATCTTGATACACGCCGTTTTTGTATAGAATAATAAATTAATGGCAAGAGTTGATACAAACACATTAATCTAAAAATATTCATTTTTGTAATAATTATAATAGTTGAAATTCGATTGTATTAATAACAAATTAGAAAATAAAATTTTTGCGAATTTTTATTTCAATTATTCGAAAACTCGAAAAAAATTTATTTAATTACAATTAATGAATTAGTTTTTAATAAAAAACATTGTTTGAAATGGCAAAAAAGCATAAAAAATTAGAACCAACAGCTTTGGAATCTAGCAAATCGTTGCACGACTCGCAGCAAACGAAAAATATACTGCTAATAGCTTGGTCCTGTAAAATAATAAATAGCTTATTTGAATTCTGCAATAATTAAGTCAAAAAAATGTAAAAACAAATATTTTTGTATTTTTATTGACTAAAAAAGTCATTCCTTTCATTTCAAAATCTGACAAATTAATAAAATAAATTTTGAGTGTTTTAATTTAATTTGAATTTAAAACAAAAATTCGTGAAGTCAAACCGTTGGTACATTGATTAAACCTGGAGAAAGTCTTGTTTGATTTTTGCAGTAATCATCAGTTATTTCCTTTGTAAGGGAAGTATCTGGTATTTCTAAAATATTTAGTCTTGCAAATTAAATCTAATTATATCTTATTATACGCTTAAGATAATATTCAGTTTTAATAATTGTCATGTGGCTATTGTATAATTTTTAGTGGCTATAATATTTTCTAACTCTAAAGAATAGATCAAATCATTTCAATTGAATTACTCGCATTACTTAATATTATCCGTGATATTAAGTGTATTTTCACGTTTTTTTCTTTTTTTTTGCAATAAAAATTAAGCAAAATTTTTTTGGGACGGCTAAAACAGTAATGCTTGTTTTGCTGAGAATAATAATTACAAATGATTTGAATTGCTAAATTATAGTTTTTTTTTGGCACTAATTTTAATTCAAAATAGTAAAATAATTAAAACTTTGGAAAATCGAAGAATAAAGATGTGAAATTTTAAGATTCTTTTTCATTCACTAACTATCATCATCTACTTGTGATGGAAGTTGTACTGCGATGATACAGTAATCTTTCGCAGGAAATTTCCCGTCAAAACATTGAATTAATGCCAAATTGTAAAAATGCTGAAGATTGAAAATGTTCATACGAACTGTACTATAATCATGTTTATCTAAAAATATTAAATAAATATTATTCAAAATTGAATATTTTAACAAATTTCATAAAAATAATTATCTGCAAATATTTAAATTGCAAAATAAAAAAATATTTTAAATAATTTTCATTTTTGAATTTGTATTAATTTGTTAAAATTACCATAAAAGTTATTTCAAGTAATAAAAGTTATTGTATTGAAATTGTTGCGCATTGCAGGAATAAAATTTGTTAAAACTGAAAATTAATAGAATATTAACCGTTTCCCTCTAACAAAACAAATTTTGTGAATATAGTAAAGCAAGAAATTGCAGTAAGCTGCACCATAAACAACATATTCATGCAAATAACGTAATAGACAATGACAAATTGTATTCTATTGCAGTATATATAGATTTTGGATATGTAAATTCAGTTAATTTTGAATATTAAAATTTATATGTTTAACAAACAAATAATTATTATTTTAATAATTGAACGCCAAACGGAAAAATTACTTCAAATTAAATTTTACTTAATTAAAAATGTTTTCAATTTAAAAATAATTGAATATGCTATTAATTTCGAAAATTAATAATAATCTAAATTAAATGGAATATTCATTCGAAAAATAAATATGCTCTTTAAGTGACGGAAAGGTTGAAAAATTGTTTTAAATTCAAGTTTTATCATTTTTGCTAGATTTCAAATCATAATATCACGACAAATTTTATGAGCAAAAGTTTAAATTGTACAAATTCAATATGCAAAAAACAATCAAAATTTAATTAACAATCAAAAGAGTACTGAATAGATTGGTCAGTAATTTGACCTTAATCAGTTAATTAACTTAAATAAAAATTTCAATATTTTTGTAAAAGTTTTAAATTTAAATTATTATCAGTTTCAGTATATTCAAAGTATTAAATACTATGAAACCTGCGTTTATTAAATTATCAATTAAAAGTATTCATAATTTTTCATCAGAAGCTTGTAATAAGTATTATTACGCTTAAAAATCGTTTAATTAAAAAGCGTTGAAAATTGAACTGAATAAAAATACTCATTTAACTAATTAAAAATGAATGATGTTAAACAGTCTATTTGAATTTTTTTGAAGTATTTTTGTTATCATTTTTATTTATCGAAATTTAATATATTTTAGTGATTTTATTGCATTTTTAATTTCAAATTCTTCTTCCCCAACCAAAAGTTTTATTAATAATCTTTTAATGTTGTTCTCATAAATTCAAAATTATTATATTTCAATAAAAATTTGGTTTTCAACTGTTAAATTTTTTGGTGTTTTAATTAATATTTTTGTGAATATTTTCAAGTTTAAAAATGACAAAAGTTCAAAGCATTAAAGAATTTATTTATCATTTCAATAATATTAATGGTTTGAATTCTTTTATTAAAAGCAGCGTTGGTCAGTTGAATAATTTTAGTGAATTTATAGCATTTCTGATTTGATATTATTAAATTTAGACAAACTATATTTTTTGTAATATTTGAAAAAAATAAATTATTTAAAAAAATTTATAAAAATAATAAATTTATAAAAAAAATTTACTCCTGCAAACTATTAATATCATTAAAATGATTTATTTTTTTGACAAACAAACTGGATGATAATTAATTCAAATTAATTGCAATTTATTTCTTATTATTTATAAATATTCAGTTTGTAATCAATTAATCAAGTATTTCTGTACTTTTTGAAAGCATTTTGTATGATTTTTAAAATTCAAATTGTACAAAATTGTACAAAAGTAATAAATAACTTACGAATTACAGAAATAATTAAAAAAGATTGAAATAAAAAAAGAGTAGAAAATAAAAAATTGGGTTGGGTTTGATTTTTGATAAAAATTTAGGCATCATTTTTCTTGAAATCAATTATATTCTTAACTGACGATTACTCGTAATGTGTAGTAGTAGTAGAAGTAAATTTCTAGTTTTCCTCACAGCAATGAGTGGTTGATTATTTCTTGAATGGTTGGTCTTTGTATGGTTACTAATTAAATTACTGATTGATTTATCAATTACAAGAATATTTCACGTTTATTTGATCAAAATTACGTAAAGTAAGCGAATACTTCGTTGTTTTTTTTGCCAATAACAATACAAAATGTAAAAAATCTCACTTCACATGCCACATTTATTCCTTACGTTTTCTTGTTTTATCATATTACACTTTTCATTTATTTTAGTTAGCAAAAATTATCATCATTTATTATTATTATTATTATTATTATTGTTATTATTTAAAATTAATGCAAAGTATTATGTGTTAAAGTTGTAAATCTAACTATATTTGATCACATTTTGAAGTAAGTGAACACCTCTTTTGATATTAAATGTTTCGCGCGCATACAATAACTTAAACTTTCTGTTTTGAAAAATTTGCTTATAAAATTTTCATTAAGTATATTACTAATTTGTAAAGTTATAATAATTGAGCAGATTAATGCTGTAAAAAATTTTGAAAATTTTGCAAATTTTGAAAAAATATAATTAAAAGTATTTTAAGAATTTAAAGGTTGATAAAGTATGCTTTATTTAATTTTTCAATGATCTAGTTCATAAATATATCTAAAAATATTACTTTTTATTGAAAAAAGCTAGCAATGAAATGTATTAATTTTAATAATGTTTAATCATTGAACATTTGCCTAAATCGCTTATACTATAATTTTGATTTGAATTTTAAAAGCATAAATAACTTAATTTTTAGCTTGTAAATCAAGATCTCTACAAAACTTAAGATAAACTTAAGAACAGAAGTTCAAATTAATGAAACTTTTTTTATGATGGAAATGAAAAAACGATGGAAAACTAGCAATGGGGTATGGAGTTTGTATAATTTTGCAGATAAAGTTGATATTCAGGTTGGTAAATTCGAAGCTTATATTTTACTTCAAAATTTACATATTTTTTTTAACATGTAAAATTTCCAAGTTGATAAAAATCAAATTATGATTACTTTTATAATGGAAATTAAAGACGCCTTGATTTGATTTACAGCAGAATAATTTGCATATTTCAGCTGATGGCAGCTGGGCTAATTCTTGCATTGCTGCAAGCAGTTTTTCCGCCATTTGTATGGCTTGTAATGGGTGATTTTGTGTCACTCTCGATCGTCCGTGAGGTCAAATTATTCACGCAATTTTTTATTCTCTCGAAGTTTTTTAATAATACTAAATAATATCAAAAGTAATAAGCGTAATAGTATTAATATACAGATTCAAAAGAACATTTTGTGTAAAAACATTACAAGTTTTAAGGCAATTTTGAGACTTTCTATCTTAAATATTTTTAAAAATATTCTGGCTGAAATCAAAGCACTCTTCAGGGTTTCTATTAAGATTCTAATTTCTTATTAATTTCATAAATTTTTTTCATCATAAAAGTTAGACGTAAAATCTGAAAAAAAATGATAAGTGGATCATTTTCAAACCAAATAACTACAACTATAAAAGAAAATATTTGGTTGATAAGTAAAAACTTGTGATCATTTGAATAGTTTTCTGTCAACAACTTTTTTGTTCAAACAAGCATGAAGCATATTTTACACGGAATTTGCACGCTTACTCACGTCACTTAAAGTAATTACTATTTTGATCTGTTAGAAAAACTACTTTAAACTCTTGATAATACTGTCTACTAGAATTTTTAATCGCAGTTTATTTACACTCATTTTTAGAATTATATTGCAAGTCAATCACAGTGTGAAGAAAATTTTTTGAACAGTATCAGACTATTTATTTTTTGCCGCAATTAACATTTTTTATACCATTTTTTGATTTTTAAAAATTGCGAAAATATTTATCGAAAATTCATATGAATGTTTACAAAATAGTAATATTATTTTTTTAAATATTGAGAAAAATGAATTAATAAGGTGGCAACTTATTAACGCTCTACTGTCACGTGAGCACGTCTATAAAGCAGTGACGGTGTAAGTATTATTTTCCTGAATTGAAACAAAATTAAATTATTTTTTTTTCAAATTAAAACAATAAAAACTATCAAATGAAACTATATAGTTTGAAAAAGCTTTTTGAATGATTAACTGAATAAATTATATTTTTATTTATTTCATTGCATTAAAATTCTTTATCAAATACTGGAATTTTAATATTTACTTTATTAAGTTGTAATAATATTTTCAAGAATAAGTTGCAGTGTATTTAATCGAAAAACTGAAAAACTGATTGAAATATTTGGAACTAATTTGAATTAAGATTTCATTTATGTGTAAAAAAATTAAATAAGCAACTAATAAATATCGAATCATTTAAAATAAATTTTTACATATTTTTGTGTAATTGCTTAAGTATTATTATCGCAGAAATTATTCCTAAAATGACACATTAAAAAAAAATTGTTTATTTTATTAGCAAAATTAATTACTTTGCAAAAAATTTTACACATTTTTTGGTATTTCTTTTTGACTCAAAAAACTGTTTTAATTTTAATAATATTAAAAAGAATTATCAAAATTTTTGAACAAATAATTTTTAATTATTTACTTAATAGTTAATTTATTGTTGCTTATATTATAATCTGTTTCGAATTCATTTTCTTTGTAAGAAAAATTTTTTAATTTCTCTTAAGCCTTCAATAATATTTGATTTCGTATTAACAAACATAAAATTCGGAAAATCGGAATAAATTTGGAATTTTAATTTCAAAATTATTATAGCTATTAATGCTGAAGACCTTTGACCTTCAAGACTTCTAGTGGTATTTTTTATAAGATTTAAATTCTTAACTATTGAATATCATAGTTATATATTTCAAGCACAAATAACTTACCACATGCATTTACATCCAATCCAATAAAAATTGTCAAACTTGAATATTTATTCCTTTATTTGATAATTTTTCAGCATTTTTCAACAATATTTAATGTTAAAATATTTTTTATAAGAGAATTTTTGTATAATTTGAACTTGTCAATTCATTTTGAATGAACTTTTGATTCATTTGGGCAGAAATATAATGCAATGTTAAGAAAAGTGAATAAAAGGTCACTTGTGATCTGAAAACTGCAACCTTTGAACTTTCTATAAATTAAGAAGCAAATTAATTTCGATATTACAATTTGTACGCAAAAGAGTTTTTTTTTTGCAAAAAGTTTAATTTGACGTTGACAAAATGAAGTTCACGCAAACACATTTTCATGATTCCATCGCGTCTGAAATGCATGAAAAACTTTTATCAAAAATTACACAATAAAAATTGGCACATTTGTAAATTTAACTTTTATAGCAAAATATGTAAAATACTTTCACAGTTAATTACACTCTTATTGTTCAAAAAAATTGACAAAAAATATTTTCAGTTATTCAAATCAACCAAAGATAGACATTTGGATTTATTTGAATATGCTATAAATGCTCAGAATAGCTCACTGAACAATACATTCAATACTTCTGAGGCTATTTACGAAAATTCAGCTCAAAAAAGTGAAATTGACCTAAAATTTGCATATTCGGCAACCCCTGCGTTTGTCATGATGCTATCATTGTCATTAGCCACTTTTATCGCTGCTTTTCTTCAGGTTTGGTACTTTACAGTGTTCAGCTTTAATTATTCACAAAGTAAAAATTAAATTATTCTAGTAGAGTAGTCAAAATATGTAATCTGATTCAAAAAATTACTAACTCTTTAATCAGTTATTATTTAATTATAGAGTTAG